AGGGACAGAGGGAGAGAGAGCGAACGAGCACAGGCAGACAGAGAGGCAGGCAGAGGCAGAGGGAGAAGCAGGCTCCCCGCCGAGCAAGAAGCCCGATGCGGGACTCGATCCCAGGACGCCGGGATCATGACCTGAGCCGAAGGCAGCCGCTTAACCAGCTGAGCCACCCAGGCGTCCCAATCTGCCTTCATTTTTTATGAATTTTTTTGCTGGTCGAGTTTTTCTTTTCCACATTTTAAAAATGCTGTTCTCGGGGCGCCTGGGTGGCTCAGTGGGTTAAAGCCTCTGCCTTCGGCTCAGGTCATGATCCCGGGGGTGTGGGATCGAGCCCCACATCGGGCTCTCTGCTTAGCGGGGAGCCTGCTTCCTCCTCTCTCTCTGCCTGCCTCTCTGCCTACTTGTGATCTCTATCTGTCAAATAAATAAGTAAAATCTTAATAAATAAATAAATAAATAAAAATGCTGTTCTCAAATCTTCTGGTCTTCATTAATTCCAATGAGAAGTAACACACTACTACCATTGTTGCCCCCTGCCATTTTTATTGATATAATTAACATATAACATTGTATTAATTTAAGGTGTGTGTGTGCATACAAATACATATATACCACATCTTCTTTATCCATTCATCTATCTGTGGACACTTAAGTTGCTTCATATCTTGGTTCTTGTAAATAATTCTGCAATAAATGCAGAGGCATAAATATATTTTCAAATTACTATTTTCATTACGTTTGGGTAAATACCCAATAGTGGAATTATTGAACCATACGGTATTTCTATTTTTATTTTTTTGAGGAAACTCCATACTGTTTTCCACAGTTGCTGCACCAGTTTGCATTCCCACCAACAGTGCACAAATGTTCCTTTTCTCTATATCCTCACCAACACTTGTTATTTCTTGTCTTTTTTATTTTAGTGGTTCTGACAGGTGTGAAGTGATAGCTCATTGAAGTTTTGATTTGCATTTTCCTGACAATGAGGGATGTTGGGTATCTTTCCATTTGTCTGTTGGCCATCTTTAGGTCTTCTTTGGAAAAATGGCTATTCAGGATGCCCATTTTTTAATTGCATTATTTGTGTATATGACAGAGTTGGGTAAGTTCTTTATATATTTTGGATATGAACTGCTTATCAGCTATACCATTTGCAAATAACTTCTCCATTCAGTAGATTTTTGGCTTTTTTCTTTTGGTGTGGTTTCCTTCACTGTGCTACAAAAGCTTTTTTTATTTTGAAGTAGTCTCAATAGTTCATTTTGGCTTTTGTTTCCCTAGCTTTAGGAGACATTATCTAGAAAAATGTTCTAATGGCCAACGTCAGAGAAAATACTACCTGTTTTCTAGGAATTTTATGGTTTCAGGTCTCACATATAAGTCTTTAGACCCTTTTATTTTTGTGTGTGGTGTTAGAAAGTGGTCCACTTTCATTCTTTTATATGTAACTGTCCGCTCTTCCCAGCAGCATTTATTGAAGAGACTGTCTTTCTCTCATGGTATATTCTTGCTTCATTTGTCATAGATTAATTGACCATATAATTGTGGGTTTACTACTGGGCTCTATCTCCTGTCCATTGATCTCTGTGTCTATTTTTGTGCCAATACCATACTGTTTTGATTACTATAGCTTTGGTAGTATACCTTGAAATCTGGAATTATGATATCTCCAGCTTTGTTGCTCTTTATCAAGATTACTTTGCCAATTCAGGGTCTTTTGTGGCTCCATGCAAAATTTAGTACTTTTTGTTCTACTTTTGTGAAAAATGTTCTTGGTAGTTTGATAGGGATTGCACTGAATCTGTAGACTGCTTTGGGTAAGACAGACATTTTAACAATGTTGTCTTCCAACCCAGTAGTGTGGAATATCTTTCCATTTTGTTTGTGTCATCTTCAATTTCTTTAATCAGTGTTTTATAGTTTTCACAGTATAGGTCTTCCACCTCTTTAGTTTATTCCTAGGTACTTTATTTTCTTTGGTGCAACTATAATTGGAAGTTTTGGAGTTTTTTTTTTTAAGATTTTATTTTAAGAGTGAGCATGAGTGGGAGTGGAGGAGGAGGGCAGAGGGAGAAGCAGATTCTCCACTGAGCAGGAAGCCTGACCCAGGGCTCATTCCCAGGACCCTGAGATCATGACCTGAGCCGAAGGCAGAGGCTTTAACTAACTGAGCCACCCAGGTGACCCATGTAAATGAGAGTTACTTAATTTCTTTTTCTGCTACTTTGTTATTAGTATGTAGACATACTACTAATTTCTGAGTATTAATTTTATATCCTGAAACTTTACTGACTTAATTTATGACTTCCAGTAGCTTTCTGTGGAGTTTTTAGGATTTTCTACATATAGTATCATTGTCATCTATAAACAGTGACAGTTTGCTTATTTAAAAAATGAACACTTCTTTTTCTTGTTTGATTGCTGAGGCTAGGACTTCCAGTATTATGTTGAATAAAAGTGGTAAGACTGGACATCCTTGTCTTATTCCTGATCTTAGGGGAAAAGTTCTGTTTTTCACCAGCGAGTAAGATGTTAGCTATGGAGTTTTCATATATAGCCTTTATTGTGTTGAGGTATGCTTCCTCTAAACCTACTTTGTTGAGAGTTTTTATCATGAATGGATGTTGAGTTCTACCAGATGTTTTTTCTGTGTCTCTTGAGATGATCATATGACTTTTATCCTTTGTTTTGCTGATGTGATGTTATCACACTGATTTGTGAATATTGAACCATCCTTGCATCCCTGGAATAAATCCCACTTGATTTAATGTATTGTTGGATTCAGTTTGCTAATATTTTGTTGAGGATATTTGCATCTATGTTCATCAGGAATATTAGTCTGCAGTTTTTTTATGGTGTCTTTGTCTGGTTTTGGTATCAGTTAATGCTAGCATCACAGAATGTACATGGAAACTTTCCTTCCTCTTCTATTTTTTTGGAATAGTTTGAGGGGGATAGATATTATCTCTTCTTTAAATATTTGGTAGAATTTACCTGTGAAGCCATCTGTTCCTTGACTTTTTTGTTAGTGTTTTGATTACTGATTAAATTTCATTACTAGTAATCTGTTCAGATTTTTAATTTCTTCTTGATTTAGTTTCAGAAGATTGGATGATTCTAGGAATTTATTCAAGGTTGTTCAATTTGTTGGCATATGTTTATCTTTTCAAGGAACTAGGTCTTGGTTTCATTGACATTTTTCTTCAGTCTTGTATTTAGTTCTGCTCTGATCTTTATTATTTCCTTCCTTCTACAAACCTGGGGCTTTTTCTTTTTCTAGTTCCTTTAGGTGTAAGGTTAGATTGAGCTTTTTTTTTTTGTTTCTTGAGGTAGGCCTGTATCACTACATATTTTCCTCTTTGAACTGTCTTTGCTATGTCCCAATATTTGGGGATATTGTGTTTTCATTTTCATTTGTCTCCACATACTTTGTTGATTTCTTCTTTGCTTTGTTGACCCATGGTTGCTTCATATCATGTTATTTAACCTCCATGTGTATTCCCCACCCTTTTTTCTTCTGATTTATTTCTAGTTTCACTGTTGTAGTCAGAAAAGAGGCACAGTGTGATTTCAGTCTTCTGAAATACTAATTATGTAGTTGTTCTTCTGTAGTTGTTCTCCTGTATTTAATGTGTCATTTTTCTCTGGCTGCTTTCAAGATTTCTTTGGCTTTCAGCAGGTTGACTATGATGTATGCCTAGGAAAGGTACTTTGTGTTTATCCAGCCTGGGGTTCACTGAACTTCATGGATCCCTTCCATTTGCAGTTTTTAAGAATAATCTCTCCAGTAGGGAAGGAAAAAGTGAAACAAGATGGGATCGTGAGGGAAACAAACCATAGGAGACTCTTAATCTCATGAAACAAACTGAGGGTTGCTGTGGGGTGGGGAGGTAGGGAGAAGGTGGCTGGGTTATGGACATTGGGGCAGGTATGTGCTATGGTGAGTGCTGTGAAATGTGTAAGACTGATGAATCACAGACCTGTACCCTCGGGACAAATAATACATTATATGTTAATTTAAGAAAAAAAAAAAGAATAATCTCTCCAACTTGTGTGTCCTCTGGTAACTTTCCAGTGTCTTTAAAAACTTGGGGGGCTTTTTTGGAACCTACTTTAAAAAGTCGGTTATTTTTTAATGTTTGCTCCAGATTTAGACATTGCTATCTGTGGAAGGATTTACACAATCACATCACTTGACTACCAGTAAGCTCCCTCTTACTATTAGGTTTGGGGGAAAAGGCAAATACCCATGTGACACATTCACAAAAATAAATCCTTACAAATTGGGACTCACTAGAAGGCAAACATCTTTATTTTCTATTATTGTGGTGGTCAGCCAGCAACAGAACTTGGAGAGAGCAGTGAAGGATAAAAGCTAGAATGTAGTGTATAAGCAATGTGTTTGATGGTCAAACATTTTCTTTTTTGGAGTGGTGTTTGAAAATTTGTGTCTGATGGATTTCTGGAGGGGGCAGTGTCTTCTTGTGTTCTTTGCGACTAAGCAGATGTCATATGAAGATTAGCATATTGGATGTAAATTATCACTGAGCATACTTGGTGTGCTTAAAGAGAGAAAACAGTGTTTGGGGCTCACAAATGTACTCTAATTATAAATGTGGAAGAAGTTACAGCTATTCCTGTACTTTGATAAGTACTAAAAACTGTGCCCATGCAGAATAAGGGAGATAAGGTAGGAAGGAGGAGAGAAAAAAGGAAACCATACTGAAACATAATGCAACTCTGAAAGCTATAGAGTGAGGGAAATGCCTTATATCCTGGAGCTCTGGGAATGCCTACTCAGTAGACGTATCTCCCCTCCCTCCCTCCACCCTCCTTTCTTTCCAGCTCTGCAGACTAAAGCACAACCATCCTGTCTGGGCACAGAGTCATGACATCAAACATCATGTCAGAGGGTGAACACTTTACAATATTATTGGGAGAAAGAATTTAGTTTGGATAAAACTAAAAACTAGGGTTTTGTTTGTTCTTTTCCTTTGTGGAAGGAAAAAGGAGTGGAATATATGAAGAAAATTGTTGATTCTCCATGTCCCAAAGCAAGACACTTACAGTTTGCAGCTGCCTACAACCTTGGAAGAGCTTATTATGAAGGGAAAGGCATCAAACAATCAGATGAGGAAGCTGAAAGGTAGTTTTACCTGAGAACAAGATTTTTTTTTTTAAATCAAATGCTGACACAAAGAATAATTTGCCTTGCCTTTCTTTTTCAGACTGTGGCTTTTTGCTGCAGACAATGGAAATCCTAAAGCTAGTGTGAAGGCTCAAAGTATCCTAGGATTGTATTATTCAACAAAAGAGCCTAAAGACTTAGAAAAGGTAACATTGATCTATTTGTTTTTAATGCTAGCACCACATGTAGATTAATATTTCGCTATTTCTTTTTTGAATGGAGGATGGTAAAGAATGAGTGTTTAGTTTTAAAGATCTCTTATAATTCTTTAAAATGTAAAGTTCACATTTTAGTATCTCAAAGCTCATTTCATGCTTTACTCATCTCCTCCTCTACCAAAGGAGTCCACAGATGTGTGAGAATTTTGCATGCTATAAAAAGCCACACACACAAAATATTATTATACCACGAAAGCTAAGAGAATCCTGAAATATAGCCCAAATCCTTTTACATGTGAATAAATTAATTTGTCCTGAGAAAGTTATGACGCTAATAAGTAAAATACCAAAAAAACACAAAAAAACAAAAAACAAAAAACCCTAGTAACAAATCAAATCCATTTAAGATTTTTACAGAAATACAATCTCTTTAATCATCAATAACTGAAATATTTTCAAAGAAATCCTATAGGGAGAAGGAAATGTAGAGCCAAGTCCTACTTGTAGGAGGCATTAAGGACAAACTTAAACACATAGCAACCAAGACCCACTTTGGATACCTGAACAGCTACTTGGAAATAATTTTTTGAACTAATTCAAATTCACTGCAGTTGCATATTGAGCGCATGTGCTCGTGACCATACATGGCTTTTACCTCGGTTGCCTCTGATCTCGAAAGGCGCCATCTCTGAAATCCACCTGGAGCTGACTGCCCTTCAGCATCGGCAGCTCTCCTCTCCCTGCTGTGCCTCATTGCAGGTGTCTCAAAGCCTAGCAGACACTTACCTCCTACTTCCTACCCTCCCAATCCTTCCTCTGGAAAAATGAGAAATCGTGAATCCTGAAACAGCTGCAGTCTAGACTGTGGCCTAACCTACATGGTGGAGAGAAGACAGGGGGGCTCACCTTAGCACTCTCTTCTAGGTATGTGAAATTGGTGCTAACCTGAAATATACTCAAGGTGCTAGAACTATTCCAGGAGATTAATACTACTACCTTATAATGAGAGATTTTTTTTTCCCCCCAGTATTCCCTTATAATTCTGCCTGGTGAATAATAAATAAGATGAAGTTGTGTTTTTTCTTAGGCATTTTATTGGCACTCGGAAGCATGTGGCAATGGAAATCTGGAGTCCCAGGGTGCACTTGGACTAATGTATTTTTATGGACAAGGCATCCGCCAAGATACCGAAGCTGCCTTGCAGTGCTTAAGGGAAGCAGCAGAACGTGGAAATGTCTATGCTCAAGGGAATCTTGTGGAGTATTACTACAAAATGAAATTTTTTACTAAGTGTGTTTCGTTTTCCAAAAGGTAAATAAGCTGGACGGACGTATTTACGGTAAATGTTACAGAACATTTACTAAATGTTCTGTGCCAGGTCTGTTCGATAGAACTTGCTGCAGTACTGGAAAGGATGGCTATTGAGCACTGGAAATGTGGTTAGTGCCATTGAGCGCTGAACATACATTTCACTGCATTTTAATTAATTTAAATAACTACCTGTAGCTAGCAGCTACCTTACTGAATAGTATAATTCTATGCCATTAGTCTTCAGGATTTCAGTGCTATTTGCTCTATATGCCAGCTGAGTGATCCTCATCAACTTTAACTTTTTGGGGCATCAATTTCCTTTTTGATAAAGAAGAAAATGCTTCAATAGCATTATAAACATAGTGTATATAAAGTACTTAACATAGTTTAGCATATAAGAAATGCTTATTAAATATGTTTTACTTTCTTCTAGACTCTTCAGCCACATGTCCTATAATTGCACATTTGCAAGATAGCTTGATAAGATTGTACAATGAGAATAATGGTTTAAAAATGTCAACATTAACATCTTATAAAATATATGGAGATTTCTCTTCTTTGAGCCCATGTACTTTCCTACATTTATTTGCTCGTAACTTACAAAAAGTAATGTACCAGGAAAAACAAACCTGGATATCTTCTAGAGAGGCTATAAGGCCATGCTGATGTGTTTCCCTCCCAATAATGCCTGACTGAGCCACTCCCTGGACCCCCCTCTGGCCTCGCCCAGGGTGGGGCAGCCATCTACAATGTAGGATGAAAGAGCTGGTTCCACCCTTCATCCCCCAATATCATGGCTTCCAGGCAGTGGGCCACTTAAAAGTGCGATCCTCAAAGTCCCCAATCTTCAAGTATCCATCTGGTTAACACCAAGACTTTAAATAGTTCTTAAAATCTTTTAGACTTTCCATTATTATCCACATTCCTATTCCCCATAATTTTACGGGTGACATTGAGTAGCTCACATTCTCACACAACTCTCCGTGCTTGTGTCAGAGTGATAAAGGAGGACTTCTTTTTATTGCCCATTTTTACCAAAGACAGATGTGTTAGCTACTTAGTGTGTTTTCTGATCCTATGTGACTTAAGTGCAAATTTAAGGTTAATGTTTGAATAAATGATCCAAAGAAATAGAAAACGCTTTTTTCCCCATTGTTTGAATCGCAAAGTGATATTGAGTTTAAAATATTAATATTACAAGAAAAAAAAAAGAAACCTTTTTGTTTTCTAATGGTTATTAAGCCTGACAAGTATTATCACAGAGAAGCTGTGACATAACCACTCTGGTAGTTCCTCTTCCCCTGGTTTTATTTTATTCTATTTATTATATTATATATAAATTATACATATGTATAATTTATATATGACATCTAAGTGTATATGTTATATATAAATATTCTATTATATTTACCCTTCACCAATAACAAACAACTTAATCCTCAAATGGGGAAAAATGGGGAAATCACTTTGGGCGCAAGGAATATTGAATCTCTGAATATGTCATTTGTAAAAATGTAAAACTAAAGCAATGTCTTTTTATAATTTCACAATTAAACATCACAACAGGATTGCTGACTATGATGAGGTTCACGACATACCCATGATAGCCCAGGTCACGGACTGTCTCCCAGAATTCATCATCAGAGGCATGGCCATGGCATCTTTCTACCATGCCCGATGCCTTCAGCTTGGCTTGGGTATCACAAAGGATGAAGCAACAGCTAAACACTACTATTCTAAAGTAAGTAAGCCTGAGAATCTATATGAATGAACCCAAACAGATATTTCTGAACTTGTAGTTAAGCCTTGAACATCTTTATGGATTAGTATTTTTTTTCCTACTTAACCATTGTGCAGATAACCTGACAAATAACCTGCAGATAACCTGATAACCTAGGAGAGGTTTGTCAGACACATGAATTGTTTGCAGATAATTCAACAGATTCTTATTAGCATAATTGAACTAGATGATGGAAGTCCCATTTTGATGCATATTATTCCCTCTCACTCTGCTACTCTACAGCCTAAGGCCCAGCACCGAGAGAGACCTTAAAGCTAGAATATTCATGCCTTCTTCCATGCTGAAGTGTGAATCTACTCTCATTCTAGTACCTTAAAGATACGTAGTTTTTAAAAGTGTTATGTATGACATCTACCACACTTAGGAGGACTATTCATGAGTTTGAGGTAATCAGTTGAAGTGAGACTTTTCCTGTTTGATTTCATGTGATTTAGATTCCAAACGGATTTCACCTCTAAAATCGAGCAACTTAAAAAGTGGGTACGAGGTGGGGAAAGGGGGAATCATTATGAATAGTAACTGCAAGAAAATTTTTTAAAAAATAAATATAATAAAAACTGCATGCCTTAGGTCCATGACATCCATCAAGTCCAAACTAGAATTATGTCTTCTTAAAATTTATAAAGCAATTCGTGGGGTACACAAGCTGTTTACCTGGAGCAGGGGAACAAGGGAAGGAACGGTTTTCTAAATCCTTTGCCTGAATCTGACCATAGGATCGTAGTGGTTCTCAAACTTGTCTACATTAAAATTACCTGGGTGGGGGGCGGCTTTGCGGCTCAGGGGGTTAAGCATCTGCCTTCGCCTCAGATCATGATCCTGGGGTCCTGGGATCACCCTGGCTCCCTGCTCAACAGAGAATCTCCTCCCTCTCCCTCTGCCTCTTACCCCATGATGGTGCTCTTTCTCACTCTCTCTCTCAAAAAAAGTAAAATCTTTTTAAAAATAAAAAATAATAATAAAAATAAAATAAATAATAAAATAAAATCACCTGGGAATCTTTTAAAAATTCCAAAGCCCAGGTTATTTCAGAACAATTAAGTCATGAGCCTTCCAGGGGACTCCAATGTGCAACTTTGGAAACCCTAAATTGTTTCAAATTAAAATTTCCAAAGTATTAAGCCCATATTGACACATAAACATAGGAACACAGTACATAAAGACAACTGCTGTTTGAAAGATTTATCACTACACCATTCTACCAGTAAGAAAAACAGTTGTCTTTAAATTTTTAAAAAATCTAAATGCTCTGTATTATACCAATTTCCAAACCAAGTCAATTTCAGATTCTGTGGTATCCATCATGTCCTTTCTAAGTAAATATAAGCAGAGAAAATTCTGGGTCAAAAATATGCTGAAATGTGGTATATATTTATCCCAAATAAAACAGTAAAACAAGCAGACTGCAATCTTAAAACTATTTTCCACATGGTGGGAGATAATACCCCCATTACTCAATTTTGGGCATTGTATTTTACAGAAGATGATTTTAAAAATGGAGAAAATTCAAAAGTAGCATGCCAGTGAAGGGTCTGGAATCCTGTCCTATGAGGCAAATGCCAACTACTTTGCCTCTCCGGGTCGCCACGAAACCAGCTTGATATATTCTCCTAGGACCCCTTCATTGATTCTAAAGTACACAGAGGGAAATTTTAGCTTAGTATAAAGAAAAACTTAATACAACTGCTTGAGAAATAAAAACAAAAGTCTTCCCTATAAGATGGTGACTTAGCAACCAAGCAAACCAACTATCATGGGTCCTGAAGGAAAAATTACTGCATGGAGTCAGGTGTGAATGAGATAACCTCCAATGTCTCTTCCAAATTCTTGACCTTCTATGCAGTTACATGCACTATTACTTCTCGCTATATACTTTATCATAATAAAATGTTATTTTAAAATAAAATTATCATAAAGTTGCTGCTATTCATATAATAAGATAATAGCAAGTTTGAGGCCAAATGCTAATGCTTTCCATGTTACTTATTTTAATAATTCATAACCTAGAACACTATCGTCAGTGTGTAAATTCCCTTGATTCTTTTGCACTCATAAAATTTTCTCTTTCAAGTGACAGTAACAATAACATAGTTATTTTCAATAAGATCTTTTTTTTGCATAGGCTAATTTGAATTTCTTTTATCAAGAAATCAAAATAGAAATGTGTCATAATTAAGAAATTCCCTTGAAATTCATTGTAGTTCTTAAAAACAAACCTAAAACTTTTTTTAAAGTTTTAGTAAGACCTTAACAATCCAAAATGTATCTAAATTACAGACTTTTTATCTTTGACTTTCAGGCTTGTCGTCTCAATCCTGCATTGGCAGATGAACTTCACTGTTTACTTATTCGTCAAAGAATTTAGACCATAATGGATTTCAACAAAGATCATCAACCCTAACACCGTAGAATGTGTGTATTTTTACAGGAGCAGCGTTTGGTTATCTTCTGCATCCCAAGATACATTATCCTGGGTATTTTACTAATGACATGTTACCTTCGTTCTTAAATCTCTAATTTTGCAACTTGAAACCCAGCTATAGGATCAAATTGCAAAAAGAGTCCTTAAAGATCCAGCTCTTAGCTTACAAACTGGCCGAGATCACATCAAATATGGAAAACCATTCCATAAACAAATACCTCTTTCTTTTCTTTTAATAGAGTGTCTAAAAGGCTTAGTGCAGTCTTAGCTATAATTCCTTCAGATATATGCTACAAACATAAAAAACACCATTTGCAAGTTTAATTCCTTAAATTTCTTTGACCCTTAGTTTTATGGATTTTGGACAGATTATTAATTTTAATTTGCTGTCATTTAAAATTTTTAAGATGAGCTAAACTAATACGAAATAAAGAAATTTAAAGAAATTTTCAAATAATGTTTTTAAATAAATTTGTGTAGCATTTATACTTCTGAAGAAATTAAAACTAAGACTGAACTAAGTCTTTTGGGACATCTTGTATTCTTAAAAGACATTCTTATAAATAATTGGTTAATTTATTAAAAACTTGGGAAAAAGTAGGTTTAAGAAATTGTTTAGAATCTTGCCTCTCCATATCTCCCCTTAAAGATCTTAATGAGTAAAACCACTGCTATATTCCTGATAAGTTAACCAGTTAAGCTAGATATTTCTCTGTGCTTAGACTCATTTTCTAGTTTAAAAAAACTTAGATGCATTTCAAAGCAAGATAAAATATGAAAAAAATCTCAAATCATTTATCAATATAAGAACAGTAAATATGCTAAAAATTTAAATTAGCAAGAGGCTTTCCTTACATTAATGAGATCTGTGAAGACAAAAGTTAATCATATAAATAGTACCATCCAGATGGAGAAGAAGGTGTAGCAGTGTACATCTGTGAAACAAACACACTGGAAACAGTGTCTTCCAGATACCTTCACAACACCTTCTCTGAAAACACACCATACCAATGTGTCTTTATTTTATAAATCACAATCATCCTTCCCAAAAGAGGATCTATAACAAGGTCTCACTTAGTATAATTAATACGCAGGTACCAGTCACTAAAGAAGTTCTGTATGGCAAAAATTGCTGGTTCTTGTTTTGTACTCTAGTTTTTCTATATTACTTAAACTTCATTTTGTCTCTATATAAAGAAAAGCACTTTCCCTAGACTTAGGTCTGTGTGATACCCTCAAAAGATCACATACTTCTCCCTTAAATCTCTTAAGACAGAGAAAATTAAACCATCCCTGAAATCTAATCCTTTTCTTTAAAAATCTCTACTCAAGAGTCTCTCTTCTCCCCCACTAATGTTTCAATAGCTCAAGTCCATAACAAGATTTCATAATACTTAGCTTAAATCTCTTTCTACAATATAAGCTCACTTACTTCACTCTTGTTCTCTTAATACCATCCATATATAATATTCCTTCAGCCATTTGACAATCTAAACTCCCAACCAGTATTCTTTTCTCCACACTGAATCCAGTCCCTTAAGCTTTTAAGAATCCTAAAATAGGAATGTAATATGGCGGTGCTTGTTGGCTTTAACTGCACACTTAATAGATATGCTTTCTTTCTTCATCCCAAAGTCAAGACTGCTTTGTAACTGCTATTAAAACATAGGTCTGAGAAATTCCAAATGTAGGAATTTGACAGGTGTCATATGGGGTGAAACGTTACACTTAACTATCTTCAGTGAATCCAACATAAAATTTAAAGTTTCAGTTTACTGTAGTTACCATTAAGCTGGTACTTGTGGCATGAGGAAGCCCTTGTAAACTACCACTACTGCAGACCGTGGCATACACCGTGACCGGTCAGTGGGTCAGTCTCTTTAACTCAAGTGAGTTGAGGCTTCCAGATCCTTAACCTTAAAAAAAAAAAAAAGAAAAAAGAAAAAAGAAACCAAAAAACTCCTAAGATTTCTTATAGCTCCTTCTTATAGCTCCTATTTCTTATACCTCCTGAAAACGTTAAAATTTATCTTAAAAAAGACTGAGGACTCAAAATAGTGATTTTTCTTACGTGCAGTATATACTTTAACAGCTATGGTTTCATTACGCATAAAGTGGACATTACCGGTGAGTGTGTTAGGATGAGTTCCTGGGGTTCTGTGATCTCAGGTTGCTTCTCTTATCTGAGTGAGGGGTAATTCTTATTCATCCTGAAGTGTCAAATATCCTCCCGGCTTGAAAAAATGATCAAAGAGCTGTGACTATCTTTATCCCAAAGATGAAATTTGGTTTACTAATTTTTAATTGTTCACCTTTCATTCTTACATTCCATATTGAGGACTTGGCAGGTAGGATCTAGCAATGCCATAATCAATACCACTTTAGTATAGATACAGTATTTTCTTTCATGGATTTCAGACTGAATTTTTGCCAATTAGTTGTATTGTTTTCAATGTTACTGGGCTAGGGGGAAGGACCGTTATAGAAGGGAAAGTGTTTTATTAATATTGCATAATAGATGGTGAAAAGTGATTGACATGTTCATGGCCCCACTATTAATAGTCACACAAAGTGACACCTATACCCTGGATCTCACACAAGGCTCCGAAGAGTCCACAAGACTTGATGATGAAATCAAGTCCCTCAAGTCCCTGAAGTAACTTCCCATCTGCGTTTCCCTATCTCATTGCTGCACATCCTTCAAAGTTCAGCTCCTATCCCACTCTCCCAACAAATCACTTCAAACATGAATTTGGCTCTTCTCATTCACACTAAAAATTGTATTTTTCACATATTCATTCTGTGTTTGGAGAAAGGCAGCCAACTTTGTACTTTTTGCAGAAGTATTTATGTGCACAGTGCTTTTTACCCCCTCCCAAAAAAGGTTTCTGATAAATATTTGAACTGCCTGAAGTGTTTCAACCTCGTTTTTTGAGATGTAAGTACCTTACACATCATAGAGCTCAGTGATCCATTTTTGTATTTTATTGCTTCAAATGCTTCAAACTATGGGAAATCTTTGGTAAAAATAAAGACAATAAAATTTTCACAATAACTTTCCACAAAGCATTGCACATGTTCTTTAGTACACATGAAATAATACAGGAATGTTCAGAGTCCTCAGTGAGGAAAGTAGCTGTATAATAGTCATAGTTCTTCATTTTAAAACAAAACTGTTTTCATAAATATTTAAAATATTTCCTAGGTTCTTATCACATATTAACATTTGTATTTCAATCAGTGTGTTGAACTTTATCTTATTATTAAAATAAAAACAATAGTTACAGAAGTGTGTTTTTCCATAGCCTATGACGGCGTTAAGTATCCCCCCCCCAACAAATTCTGTTCCACTTCACACAAAACTAGAGGGAGGTAACTAACATAAAAATCAATATGGTTCTCAACCAAGCCCTCTGTGGAAAAGAGGAAAATACTTCATGTCTATTGTTACACAGACATTTCTCTGGTGGTTTATTTGTGCAGTCTCAAACTTGACCAGCTTTTAGTTGATCTAAATGACTTCTCAGCTCAGGACACAACTCAATTAGCAGCAGTTCCATCAGCACCTGAACCAAGAAAGAAGAAAAAAAGTAGGAAAATATGGAGTTTCTTTTTTTTTCTCTAAGGGTTTACTCATAATATTTATGTCTTAAGAGAAAGTCTCATTTTAGGTCTGAGATGCTTCTCCATGAACAAGTTATTCTCCAGTAAATGGGACTAATATAATATAAACTCCATTTAGTATCAGACTGATTCATTTCATGGTCTCTTTGCCATTATCACACCATCAACAATAGTTAATATTGATAATTATAATCAGACGGATGACTGGGAAACAGTTTGCTTTCCCGAAATAAAATTAAACAGTCATGCAAAACTGTCACATGCATCTCTCCCGTGACAGAATGGGAAAGCTGTACACACTGGAGGCACTCTTTTTCTTTTTCCAAACCGAACAACTGGTCAGTCAGACAAACAAAAATGAAGCTGAGTAGATAATGGGTTCAGAGTTATAAGTAACAGGAATGATTAAGTACACAAGGGGTTAAAATGAACTCCCATTTGTGAACGGAAACGTCAGATTGAATTAATAGCTGGTCCTCTGGTTGGCTTTAAATTACTCACATATAACAGATGCTTATTGGCTCTTGTTTCTTGCAGTGCATTGAATATTTTTATTATACCATGCCGGGCGTTTTGCTGTCCAACGAGGCTCTGAAGCGTATCTGAAAGATTAAGTTTACATTCAGTGCTGTTACCAATAAAGTACATAGTCTATGCATATCCAGTGAGGGAAACAGTACATGATGTATATGGAACAAATAAAGGCACTGGGGCACGAGGAACATGAACGATCGGTTCTTTCAAACGTTTAACGAGAAAATAGCTTTATTTAGAATTTTCAACAGAAGGCATTTATACAAACTACAATTTTAATATATTGCTACCCAATTAAAAATTAATCTCTCTGAACAGTGTACTTTAGCAGGATTTTTAAAGCACAAAATTTATTATCTGTCCTAAAACATTTTTCTAAGTAAAAGAAAGCATTATAACCACTACTTTTCTTATTAAGATTCTCAGTATAATTTCTTAGCAAAGGACATGTTTTAAAAGAAAAAAAAAGTGTGATCATTTTTCTTGTAAATAAGGTTTCCTGAGAGATGTAAGTGGAAAACTCCTTACTAGGGTTAACGTTCGCCCTTTATCTCTGTATTTTTCAGGATCAGAAGCCAGGTCTCACCTGGGATGTTTTCAAGCAACTTCTGCTGTGCCCTCTGCTTTGTGGCCTGACTGTGTTCTTCACTTCTGATTGTGGTCGGTGGTGCCAATTTCCCATTTGGCCAAAAAGCATCCCGGAAAACATTGATGTAGTAAACCAACATTTGCTCACTGAAAATCCAGTTCACTGTGTCCCGGATTTGTCTTTTAAGAGAAAAATATTTCTTGGATGAGGTTTTTAAAAGTTGTATACTCTATTCTCAAAAGGCATTTATCAATGGGTAGGTGAAGATACAGCCTGATCTAAATGTTTGATGAATAAACTAGGAATTGGATTTTTAAACTCTGGCTCTGAAAGGTATTCCTCATTTTGGTGGTACCGGATGACCGTTCATTCCCGGAGCTCACTTTTCTGTTGGTACCGACCTCTCCAAATGTCTGCTATGTAGTACCCTGCAATCGGTAAGGACAGGAACCCAGAGGAGACCGACTGGTTTGAAACCTGCAGCTACTTTAACTGTGCACAGTACTTAACTCACTCACTTCTCCATGGGGTGGTATAAATTGAAAACATA